AGCTAGGCAGTACAACAAATCTATGTCAACGATATACACTGTAATTGCTAATTGCTAAAGACGTTGAGTGCTAAAGGGGCAAAAGGCATATCAACAATCACAAAACAAAGAACACGAACACTTGATGTTGAAAAGTTATTATTAATTTGGATACACAACAAGGAGTTACCAGGTGATATCGTTTCAGAGGCCATCATTTGTGAAAAAGCAAGGCTATTGCACAAAGCTCTTATAAAGAAAACCCCTGGAATGAGTGATGTAGATACGAAAGAGTTTTAAGGCGAGCAGGGGGGGATGGTTTGAGAAATTTAGAAAAAGTGGCATTCATAGTGTTGGTGTCGAGTTGGTGGAGGAACACAGTGAAGAACTGACCACCGAAGAACTCCTAGCCCTTCAAGGAGCAGCAACAAGAGACACCCGAGGAAATTTCTTCAGGGGAGGAGGAGGCAGTACAGAATGTCCCTCAACAATTAAGAAGTGGTGTAGACTATGGAAAGAAATGCAAACTTTTGTTGAAACGACTTTCAAAGCAAACTGAAATAGGCTGTTGCCTTAACCTTTTTAATGACACTGTGATGCCTCATTGACAAGTGTTACAATGTAGGGAAAACAAGTCTATGGAAAGTTTTTTAGCGAGAATAACAAGCAGTGAGCTTCAAGCAGGTCCTAGTGGTATGCAGGCAAAACGTAGGAGAGAGCACCCCAGAGAAGTCATCACTGCCAGATGTTATAATGGAAGGGAACTTCCCTTCCAAACACTTAACACCTCTCCTCCTCCCCCTCCTCATCACTGTCTTCTATACACCAACAAATCATAAATAAAGGTAAGGTATAACTTGTACATACTATAGTACTAAATGTTTATTAGGTATGAAATGTATTTTGAAGTTAATATTTTTAGGAGTGTGGAACGGATTAATTCAATTTACGTTATTTCTTATGAGAAAATTAATTTCGGGTTACAAACCGTCTCTGGGAACACATTAAATTCGTAAATAGAGAAGCCACTGTATTCTTGGAAAGATCTAGGAAAACCTCAGTGACAAAAATCTGTCCTGGTATCATTTATATCTTCACCTGTACGGGTACTGTATATGGGAAAGTGGACACAACACCAACATCAGTATCATCAAATTATGGTTTGTGTTACAAAATTATCACAGTCCTTATCACAGTTTCAGAACAGGGTGCTCTTGCCTGTCACAGTTACTGGACCACTATGACATGGCATTAGATGCCATGGAAAACAAACAAAATGCTGATGTAATTTACACAGATTTCGCAAAAGCCTTTGACAAATGTGACCATGGTGTTATTGCACATAAAATGCATTCAAAAGGAATTACGGAAAAAATAGGCAGACGGATCTACAATTTCCTGACAAACAGAACCCAATGTGTAATAGTCAACAAAATAAAATCCAGCCCATCAACTGTGAAGAGCTCAGTTCCCCATGGTACTGTGCTTGCTCCAGTACTTTTTCTCATCCTCATATCGGACATAGACAAGGACACAACCTATAGCACTGTATCATCCTTTGCAGATGACACTAAGATCTTCATGAGAGTAGGCAACATAGAGGACATGGCAAACCTCCAGTCAGACGTAGATCAGGTCTTTCTATGGGCTACAGAAAATATGTTGTTTATCGAGGATAAGTTCCAGCTCATGCGCTACGGAAAAAATGAAAATATAAAAACGGAAACCACGTACAAAACTCGGGCAAATCATAAAATAGAATGAAGGACAATGTAAAGGATCTGGGTGTACTCATGTTGGAAGACCTTACCTTTAAAGAACACAATAAAGTAGCCGTCACAACTGCAAGAAAAATGACAGGTTGGATAACAAGAACTTTTCACACTAGAGATGCTGTACCGATGACGACACTTTTCAAAACGCTAGTGCTCTCTAGAGTGGAGTACTGCTGCACAATGACAGCCCCTTTCAAAGCTGGAGAAATTGCAGACCTGGAGAGTGTGCAGAGATCCTTTACTGCTAGAATCCACTCGGTAAAACATCTAAACTACTGGGACCGACTAAAGAGCCTAAATCTGTATTCCCTCGAGCGCAGGCGAGAGAGATACATAATAATCTATACGTGGAAAATAATAGAGGGGCTCGTCCCAAACCTGCACACAGAAATATCACATGAGACCAGAAGGCATGGCAGGATGTGTAGAATACCCCCGTTGAAAAGCAGAGGTGCAACAGGTACTCTGAGAGAGAACTCTTATCAACATCAGAGGCCTGAGACTGTTCAACACGCTTCCACTACACATAAGGGGCATAACTGACCGACCCCTCACAGTGTTCAAGAGAGAACTATCAACATCAGAGGCCCGAGACTGTTCAACACGCTTCCACTACACATAAGGGGCATAACTGACCGACCCCTCACAGTGTTCAAGAGAGAACTATCAACATCAGAGGCCCGAGACTGTTCAACACGCTTCCACTACACATAAGGGGCATAACTGGCCGACCCCTCACAGTGTTCAAGAGAGAACTATCAACATCAGAGGCCCGAGACTGTTCAACACGCTTCCACTACACATAAGGGGCATAACTGGCCGACTCCTCACAGTGTTCAAGAGAACTTAACACCTCCAAAGGATACCTGATCAACCAGGCTGTGTACTCATATGTCAGGCTGCGAGCAGCCGCGTCCAACAGCCTGGTTGATCAGTCCAGCAACCAGGAGGCCTGGTCGACGACCAGCCCGCGGGGAAGCTAAGCCCCAGAAGCACCTCAAGGTAACCTCAAGGTAGGCAAGGTCCTCCCTTGCGAATTCACCCGTGCTCCTTGTATTGTCACCACCACCATGGAAGCTGCTGAAACACTCTTCATCTATGCTACTTGTATTAGATGCATCATTACTGAATCCAGAAAATGATTCATCTATAGTATCATCTACAAAAATTGATGATGGCATGGGTGGCGCTCAGCTACTACTGGATACGCTTGCTGTATCGTCCTCATCATTGCTGTATTACTTGTATCCGACCCTTTTGTTAGGTCCTTGCTATGTATGCCTAGCTTCATCGTGACCCTTATGTTCTTCAAAGAATAAGGTCTGAATCTCACTGACAGAAAGCTCTCTTTCAACACTGCATTGGACAGGTGTTTGGGAGCCAGAGACGCATGCGCCACCCATGGTTGCTCACTTGGAACTAAGCCAGCCAGCGGCCCTTGGGTATTCTGGGAATTTTTTCCAAGATGGCTGCCTCTCACTGGAGGTCTCAAGAGTCCATATTGTAGTACCCAACCAACCGCGTGCGCATTTTAAACGGTACGAAATACTGAAAAGGTGTTTTCTCAGTTTTGCAGTTTCCAACGAATCGTGTTTTCTCGGCCGGCGCAGTCGTGTGGTTAAAATTGTTTACAATAACTAACAATCAAGTGATTATATTGGTACAATATTCACCGAAAATAACAATGTAAGCAGAAATGTTAGAGATGCTAATGTTCTTATACAGTATTACAATTTAAGAACCTTATATTTCAAATATGAATAATTTTCTTTTCACTGGCATTATGTAGGTTAAATAGCACTTTTTTATTATAAACTAAAAATTAATTTTCTTTCAATTGAACTATAATTGCAATGTAATTTTATTTGAATTGTACACCTGTGAAGTTTAGTGGAATGTTTTTTTTCTTGTGTTTTGCAGATTAAGGATTGCTTTTTGAGTAAAAAAAGACTAAAATCTGAAAATTTTACAAATTAACACTTTGGCGCACCCCACTCGCCACCCCTCAACTGTGCGATATGGGACCCAGGGTGTCATGGGAGCGCGCGTAAATTCTGAAAAGTGTATACTCTCTTCAACTTTGTCACCTTAATTCTCGTCCTACGAGATTAAATTTGGTATCATTGTGTTCACAATAGAATTCTCTACAGCACTAAATGCATATAAACTCCAAAAGCCCAGCTAATTACCCGCAGCAAACAGAGAAAGTGCGAACGAGTTACCCAGGAGCTCGCAAACGCGATAAAATGTTTTCACTATTTTCACTCTGGTCACCTCAATTTTTATCCTAGGTCTTTCATTTTGGTCTCAATGGGTTCGCAATAGAATTCTCTAGAGGAACATTAGCATATAAAATAAAAAACCTGGTCACGCTCCAACCGCTGACGAGTTGAAGACGGGCCACGCGTTAGCCGCGAGTGAGTGCTCAGACGCTTTCCAGCTACACTCCCAATTCCCGCCCTTTTCAAGCCTTTCTTTCGCAATTTTCTTCCTGGAAGGGCCTTGTTCATGATCACTATCCATCGTGGAGTAAGCGTAGATAGTTTCTAAAGCCGCAGTAAGAAATATAGCCACGGAAAATAGCCGAAATGTTCACACGTTTGAGATGCGAGAGGAGGCAACATTGGTCACAACAGTGGAGCGAAAACAGTGGGCCCACGGCATGTGCCAAGCCGCCTGAGGGCCACGAGGCTCAACAAAGAAAATGGGAAGACACCGGCGCGCATTTTAAAACCAGTCCCCAAAAAATCGGATAAAAACCTGATTTTTGGCGATTATTTAAAGTGGATGACGCAATGCTGCGTCATCCCCGGAATTACCGACAGTAAACGGATGACGCAATGCTGCGTCATGCCCGGGCGAAAGTGTTAACTACATTTTTTTACTTAATTTTTATTTAGAATTGCAATTGATAATTGTGTTGGAATTGAGACTAGTGAATTGGCATCGATATCGGAATCATTAGATTTTGATACATTCACTAGTATGAATTAATTTAAAATTTATAGAAATTTTAATATTTTGATATTGTACTATATTGTACTGTATTTTATATTTTCAAATGAATTTTCATGTTAAAAATCTCCCCCCCCTCTCCCCCACCAAAAAATATATATTTTTTAAATCTGAAGGGAAATCAGTGCTGTGCAGTTTTAAAGATTAGTTTTATATATGACTTGACTAAGCATTTAATTGTTGCTGTTGCTAGGATACTCTTCTCAATTTTATGTGTTTTTGTTTTCCCAGATCTTTGATCCCAGCCTTAAGAAAAAGAAAAAGAAGAAGACTGGGTTTAATCTTGATGCAGCCCTAGCAGATAGTGGTGGAACCCCAGTTGTAGAACCTGCACCCACTCCTGAAAATGGAGAAGTGCCTGAAGCCAAAGAGAGCACTCCTGAAATGGACGGTAAGGAAGGAAGGAGGGAGGGGAATTATCAGGGGGAAAGTGCCAAGCCATTACGACTGTATAGCACTGGGAAGGGGTCAGGATAAGGATTTGGGATGGGTGGAGGGAAGGAATGGTGGCCAACCACTTGTGGACGGTCGGGGATTGAACGCCGACCTGCATGACGCGAGACCGTCACTCTGGACGATAAGGAGAAGTAGAAAGATTAAACCTAGACTTCGTTCTTGGATTTCAAAGGAGTTTTGGTTAACTGGGACTTAATTGCGAGGTATACAAGTGGAATAAGATATTAATATTTATTTCTATTTAATTTGTAATGCCACAAAATGGGTTTTGTAGATCGTGAAACTTCGCTCGAAAATTCTTTTGTACATTTAATTCAAATTTACTTAACTACACATATATTTTGATGTATTCATAAATCTATCACTATTTAAATATTCAAAAAAATAGTGTGATTTTTGCTGATTGAGTGATCGGGAATAAAGTTGTTCGCTTTGTAGGTCTCGGCACCATGCTTTTCCCCTTACACCCATTGGAACTTTTCTTCTGGCTAATAACAAATTTTGTTTTCTCCCGAGCTATTTTCCCGTTTGCCACTCATTAATATTCTGCACCTTTCACAACTTGAAGAAATAATACAGTGAAAATGTTAAAGTTGAGAGAGGTAATTAGTGCGACAAGTATAAACGACTCAAAGGCAGTGCATAGAGAGCTAGATCTCACTCCCCCATAGTCAGTGATAGGTGAGCACCACTAACCACTACAGTAATCACCATTCCACCACCTACCATGAAATACATACCGCTGGTAGGACGTGTTTGAATGAGGTGACCGTGTGTTGTCACCAAAGGGGGAGAGGTTGGTAGCTATTATAAGCGTTATACAGAGAGTAATCACATTAACGTAACGTATCGATGAGAAAATTCGTTGGAGCCGTGATGGGGATTCGAACCTATGTGGTGGGTAGTCCCATGCCCCAGACAACCAGGCCACGACATGGTCAAGAGGATTGCAACCTGGAGTTCTGCTGAACACACGAGGGTTTCTTGAGGCTTTCACTGAATTCCAGGTTGCAGTCCTTTTGACAATGTCGTGGCCTGATTGTCTGAGGCATGTACACGGGACTATCCACCGCATAGGTTTGCATCCTCATCACGGCTCCATACAGATTTTCTCATAAGTGTTAAAGATGATAATGCTTGCCAGAGGGTAAATATTGGAAATATGCATGCAGAATAAATGTGCTAGATAATGTGTTTGGAAGGTTGAGAATTGTAGAAAATGTGCTGGGAATAATTTTGTGTAGGAGTAAGATAAGAATGATTCTAATATAAGTGTCTCCCAATGGGTCAGCTTCGGGGATCCGGAGTACACGTGAAGATGCTTTCCAGCGTGTGGAAGAATTTTGTAATTTTTATTAACTCTGGAAGTTGTGGGTGGAAAGAGAAGCTAACTTGTACTTGCCCCCATTTCAAATTCTGGCAGGAAAGAATACACAGATTACATTGAATAGGAAAACAAAATTATATATTTATATTTTTTTTTTTTTATAGATATGGAGATGTTTGGAAAGAAGAAGAGCAAGAAGAAAAACAAAAAACCATTCAATCTGGAGGAACTAAGCGAGGCATTGCCAGAAACGAAGGAGACTGGTATCATAATTGGGGAGGATCGCGAACAGGTGGCATCCCAAGCATCTGAAGTCGATGACTTTGATCTGGACATGGACTTCAGTAAAGCCAAGAAGAAAAAGCCTAAAAAGAAGAAAGGACTGGTTGACCTCATTGCAAAAGATGACTCTGTCATGGACAGTGATGACAAAGAATTAGGTGAGTTTGTAGTAAGTTTTTTTGAAGGTTATGGGTAGCTATTAAGTTGATATTGAATTTGGGATTATCTGAGCATTACATTTTGAGCATGGCTGTATTTATTTATACAAACTGGTTTAGAGGATTACAAAAAAAAATATATTATGACACATTTTCATGCTTATTAAATGTTTAAATTTTCAGCAGAAACTATGTAGGTAAAGTATGTTTTATGTATAAGCTGCTCAGTATTACTGTATAATCTCTTGTTGAACAAGACTTTGCAGTATTGCAACAAATAATAATACAGTGGCTACTGCATGCAGACTGACCAAACAATTGTGAAACATTTTGATCTGCCAATGGATTTGTTGGCCGTTAAACATTGGCTCTTGTCACGAGATGTCTGAAAGACAATTTTGTCACGCCACGTGATTTAATTTGTTGTGCCAGTGTGTGATGGTTGAAGACAGGTGTTTTAACAGGTGTTTTAATAGCGGGCCAAGAAGGTCATAGCATTGCTTTAAAGCCAGGTCCTGCCCCTTTCTGCCTCGGAACTCAGTCATGATAGGTGAACATATCTTCATCGCCATCAGATGAAGGTGATCATCTACTTGGGGAGTAGAAGTACTCCCAGAACACCCATCCAGGTACAATCATACCTTGATCTCCCACTGGTAGTTGTACCAGCAAATGTCAGTGGATATTGTTCCCTGAAAATGTCAATCTTTCGTGTCTGATAATGTATTTTTTATTGGTAATGTATTTTGAATTGATGTGAAATTGAATATATAGTATCTCCCAGACACCCGAACTATGTGCTCCACCTTTGTGAAGATAGATGCGAATATTTTGTGCCATCTGTTGCTAGGTTCGATGAAGCAAATTGTGGGGAGAGAGAAGAACTTTAGGTGTCAGGTGAAGCCAACTCATCCTCCTAAAATGATAGTACTCATTGTGACTTGGTCAAATGTGTCAATGTGCACTGTTATACCCCAAAGGAATTCGCATTTTGTTCCCTTGATTTTATAAGGCCGAAACAGCTAAAATCCAAACTAACATTACTAGGCCTAGTTTAGCATGCACACGTGCACACATACTACGTTAGGCCTAAGGTTGCATATATATTAGGCCAAGGAGTGCGCGTACAGGTTAGGTTTAAATCTTTAATTACCTTTAAATTTTCTAGAATGCCATTTGGACTAATTCATCAATACAAAATATGAACTTTTCAGGGTCCATCAGTGTATATATTGGTATGTTTGACTAAATAGTTGATATAAGTGCTATCATTGTGGGAGGATGGGTTGAATATAGTGTGTGTGTGTGTGTGTGTGTGTGTGTGTGTCTTTGTCTTTTTGGTGGGCACATGTACTTGGATGTGCTGGCATGGTTGAGCATCGAGCCACAAGCCCAGCCTTTCTGACCCATGATAAGTTTAGAAAATGATTTTACTTCCACACACTTCTTGTTGTACAGTATTTCCTTGTAAAGTTGCTTACTGAACGTGCTTCGACAATTGCTTCTTGTAGCCCGTTCCTCTTGCTTGCAACGCTTTACTTAAAGGAAATGTTACCTTACAACCCTCCAGCTCATTTCTCTAGTTTGCACTTGTGTCGGATGGTCTTTCCATTTATCTTTTTAAAACATACTTCATTGTGCACTTGGCCAATTCTCCTAAATTTCTTATAGGTTATTATATTTCCTCTGTTTTGTTTTCTCCACTGTAGTGAGATTGAATACTTTTAGCTTCCCATCATTGTACACACACTCCATTTTTGGGACAAATTTTGTTACATATTTCTGAACTTTCAGTTTTAGTTTGTGTTTTTTCTGAAGGCTTCTTTATGTACCTAAGAGCTATTTGGACATTTGTCATTTGGGCTATTCATTTGTCAATTTCATCTGTGTTGTAATATTATTTTTGTTAACACGTTCCACATAGACCAGGTTTGGAGATGGTATACTTCCGGATCTTTCTTGTTTTTTTGTTTTGAGTAGCTGTCTTCCTTTTAACCTGAAATAACCCTATTAATCTTTCTCCCACTCGTCCACTTTGTATTCGTCTGGGTTGAAGTGTAGCAACTTTGACCAATGCTGGAGTGCATCCAGGTCTTTCTGTAGTTTCTTGCAGTCATTTTTACTTCAAAATCTAATGTTTGTGATCAAGTTTACATTGTCTGTAAACAGGGAAAATGAATGATCCTGTTTCCTCATGTCAGGTCATTTGCGCGCATCGGAAACACTTTAGAACACTGATCCCTTGATACCCGACTTGAAACATCTCGCCTCTCTGATAGCCACTATCCATTACTTGTTTCCTATCCAAGAGAGAACTTGTCTAACCCAATGCTGTGCTTGTTACACTAACATTGTCTTCAAATTTATATAGGAGCCTTTTATGAGGCACAGTATAATGTGCTGCTTTACCATTATCACCTGTCTTAATAGCACTTAACAGAAGTGTTAGACATTATCTATTTCTATTGAAGCAATGTTTTTGCTCAGAGACAAAGCACATTTTTTTCAAAGTGTTCCACTAAGTCGTCATCTTATGAATCTCCAGCACCTAGCAGATAATGTATTTCAGTTCCACTCGTCTGTACTTTAGTGACTCCTGCCAGCCTCCAATGAGCCTTAAGCAAAGTACAGGTAAAGGCAGAGGTAGAATGGAAACAACTGAATGAACTAGATATGGTGAAGGCTATGGAATCAGAAAAGATCTTGTGGATCCTGAAAGCAGCAGCAGCATAGACGAATCCTTTCTTGTGAATGTTGACCACACAAGCTGTGTTCCATATCTCGGTCAAATCATTTGTTCACAGTGTAGAGTTGAAGAGCATTGCTAAGGGAAGACTCGGTGCCTCTTGCTACATCGTTCAGGACTTGTAACTTTTTTTGTATTCATTGATTTCAGTTGTTTCCATACCTCATTTGCTGTCACATCTTTTTGCTCAAGACTCGTTGCTCAGGTTGTGTGTTTCCAGATTTCCTGGGAGCTTCCTCTTGTTAATAGATATTCTCATAAATACTGTACGGGATATTCTCATTAGTACTTCACACACTTCGTATCACTTTTTTTTTTTGTTTTTTTAATGTGTTCATTCACTATCAATTCCTTTATGTAAGACTGGGCCATGTATGGATTTATGTGGGATACTAGGTTAGGAGTAGGAGTGGCCCCAGGACTAATGTGTGGGGAGGGGGGGGGACGCTGCGTGTGATATCTCGCCATTCTGAGCTCTTATTTTGCACTTTGACTGTCTTGCGTTGCAGCGGTATTACTTTATCCATTGTAGCATTTTTCTATCACTCTTCTGATAAAAAAATCTTTTGTTCACTAGCAGTTTGTGAGGTACTTTGATAGTCTAGAAATACTGCATACACTTCCCACCCATATGTTGATTGGCAGTTAAAGGACACTTTAATAATAATAATTATAATAATAATTTTTATTTAGGCAAAGGTACATACATAAAGAGATTTTACAAAGTTTGTTGGCTTTATAGATAAGAGCTAGTACATACAATGCCTAAAGCCACTATTACGCAAAGCGTTTCGGGCAGAGTTTAAGTTTAAGACAGGATTTGTCATCGCTGATCCCATGCTGGTCATCAGTTATAAAGGTCTCTACACATCCTGTAGGCTTCTCGTGGTCTTCTCCATCATTGCTTGGGTCCGTAATCACAAAACAAATTCATTTAGTACATTGAAAATGGATTAAGAAAGGATCCTTAACATACACTGCAGGTCTGCTGCTGTTTTAACAAATTTGTGTACCCTCTTTTATCTGTTTGTATACTTCAGCCATGGCACCCCTAACTCTTCATCTTTCTTGAGAATGTAGATTATCCATTTTTGTTGTAATTTCTAAATAAGAGAAATTTATAAATCGTGGAATTAACTTTACTCTGTGCACATAGAGGGGGGAATTTATTTTCTTTTGGCAGTATGGAACTACGCATCTCCAGGTCCCAAAGAGAAGAGGAGAAAGTTCTTGTTTGAGTAGCTGGATGTTCAGTAGTTGGTATCAACAGTTGGGGTTATAACTTGCTGGATGTTCAGTAGTTGGTATCAACAGTTGGGGTTATAACTTGCTGGATGTTCAGTAGTTGGTATCAACAGTTGGGGTTATAACTTGCTGGATGTTCAGTAGTTGGTACCAACAGTTGGGGTTATAACTTGCTGGATGTTCAGTAGTTGGTATCAACAGTTGGGGTTGTAACTTGCTGGATGTTCAGTAGTTGGTATCAACAGCTGGGGTTATAACTTGCTGGATGTTCAGTAGTTGGTACCAACAGTTGGGGTTATAACTTGCTGGGTGTTCAGTAGTTGGTACCAACAGTTGGGGTTATAACTTGCTGGATGTTCAGTAGTTGGTATCAACAGTTGGGGTTGTAACTTGCTGGATGTTCAGTAGTTGGTACCAACAGTTGGGGTTATAACTTGCTGGATGTTCAGTAGTTGGTACCAACAGTTGGGGTTATAACTTGCTGGATGTTCAGTAGTTGGTATCAACAGTTGGGGTTGTAACTTGCTGGATGTTCAGTAGTTGGTATCAACAGTTGGGGTTATAACTTGCTGGATGTTCAGTAGTTGGTATCAACAGTTGGGGTTGTAACTTGCTGGATGTTCAGTAGTTGGTACCAACAGTTGGGGTTGTAACTTGCTGGATGTTCAGTAGTTGGTACCAACAGTTGGGGTTATAACTTGCTGGATGTTCAGTAGTTGGTACCAACAGTTGGGGTTATAACTTGCTGGATGTTCAGTAGTTGGTATCAACAGTTGGGGTTATAACTTGCTGGATGTTCAGTAGTTGGTACCAACAGTTGGGGTTATAACTTGCTGGATGTTCAGTAGTTGGTATCAACAGTTGGGGTTATAACTTGCTGGATGTTCAGTAGTTGGTATCAACAGTTGGGGTTATAACTTGCTGGATGTTCAGTAGTTGGTACCAACAGTTGGGGTTGTAACTTACTGGTGTTCAGTAGTTGGTACCAACAGTTGGGGTTATAACTTGC